CTACTGTCTTCTATTTCTTTGCTGAAAGAAACTATCAATGAGTCCTTGATTGATCAATATTGCATGTCTCTATCTGTTTTCATGAGAAACAACTTTAAAGATATCAATATGTAATACAACAAGCATTGTTAATTTCCTACCACTTTGTTTGTAACTCTGTATTGTCTGTACTGTTCTTTTGTTATTTTGTAAAAGGTTGTCTGTCTGTTAATGTTTTTCTCCTTTTATTTTTAAAATTAAAAAAAGTGTATCATTGATTTTTTATATCTGAACAAGGTAGGAAAAAAGGAATAGAGACTCTGGGGTATGTCATTAAAATACTGAAAGAACATTTAAGGTAAAGAATCTAATGGAAAACTCTGCTTCTTATTCGAAATCAGGAATGCAAGGAGGAGTAAAGAACGAGAGCAATGACTGAAAAGGGACCCATCCCCCTGGCCGAGGTTAGAGACATAAATGTGAGTACAATACCAATGAAATAGGATGTTATTAAGATGAAAAATGGTTTTGGAAAACACAAAATATAGTTGTTAGAAATATAAATACAATGAGATTTGTAGTATCACAACAGAAATAAAATTCCTAATGGGTGAGTTGATGACAAAAGCTAAAGAATTAGTTATCTGGAAGATAGAGCTTTAAAAAAAAATCTACATGGAACACATCTTAAAATGACAAAAATAATAGAAAATATACAGATATATTTAGGAAACCCACGAGTAAAGTGAGGTTGCATATGAATTCAAGGGGAGTAGTAGAAGGTAGAAAGGGAACATGTAGTGAAGGCACCGTTCCTGTTCAAAGTTACTGAATTAAATTTTCCAGTATTTATGAAAGTTGTTAATCCACTCCTCAGGGATTCCAGGGAATCCCAAGTAAGGCAAAAGCAGCCTGTAATTTAAAAATGAGGGGTACTTTAAAATACACATGGACAAATGATTATATAAATTATTATACAAAATTTGGACTCCAATTTCTCAAGTACAGAAACAACAGTTTCTTTTTTGTTGTTGTTGTTGTTTGTTGTTTGTTTTTTTTCTGGTATCAGGAATCAAACTCATGACCTTGCGCTTGCCAGGCAGGCTCTGTGCCACTGAGCTAAATCCCCAGCCCCTAAAAAACAACAGTTCTGTGAAATTATATATAGCTTTTTTCTCTCTCTCTTTTTAAGACAGGGTCTCACTATGCAGTTCAGGCTGAATTGGAGTTCACTTTGTAGCCAGGCTGGTCTGGAACTCACAATAATTCTCCTGCCTCAGCCTCCTGAGTGCTGGGATTACAATGTAAATACAGCTTCAATAAAATAACAAAGAAAGTTGAAAACATATCAGCAAATATCTTTCAAAAATTAGTAGTAAATTATATTAAAAACAACTGAGATTTTGCTATTAAAAACTTTCACTTTAAAAATTTCTGAAAGATGTTATGTTAGAGAAAGTATTTCTTGGTCCAGAATCTGAAATTCAAGAAGATATTATGAGCCAGAAATGGTGCTTCTTGCCTGTAATCCCAGTGCTTGGGAGGCTGAGACAGGAAGATTACAGATTCCAAGCCAGCCTGTTCAATGTGGGAAGATCCTATCTCAAAATAAATGAAAAAAAAATCTTTTAAAAAGTGATATGCTGAATAAAATAAATCAAATACACTGAGAAAGATAAATTCGGTCTGCTTACAGAAGTGATTGTGGGATAACAACCTGACTGTATCAGGAAATGCCTGTTGTGGTGGAACAGTTCGGGGTGTGTCTGTGGGTGGCTGACAGGTAGCCCACACACGGAGGGGAAGACCTGCCAGAAAAGAACGGCACCAACCTCTGGCTTGGGCCTGCACAAGTAGGCTGCCAGGTAGGCCACACACACAGGGGAAGAAGAAGGAGGTTCGCCTTTTTGTTTCTTTTAAGAAGCTCTGGTCTCTAACTGTAACTCTGTATCCTGACCTCCATCTGTCAGCCTTCCAGTGAAGACTCTGCGACCTTCCCAGACAGCCCTTTGCTTTCCAGTCCCGGGGTCTTCAGCCTCCCGCTGATCCTCAGGCTCTTCAGTGAGCAGGCCACCATTTTGTGCTCTTCCCATCCCTGATTCCATAAGTGGATGTTTGTGTCTGTAAACCCTTCAGATAATCATTTATATCATATTATAACACACTGGCTTCCTGATGAACCCCAATTGATATGGACTACGTTACTGAAGTGGTTCTAAAGAAACAGAGTGTAAGAGTCAATTTCTCTAACCCACTTTGTGGTTCCTGGACTTGGCTCTCTGATTTGATGAGATGTGAGATTGCCATGGTCTTTTCTGATAGTGTGTGAACTACTATCAGAAAAGTAACATGCAGCACAGGTCCATTTGAATATCCTAATTTACCAGTTGTGAAAGCCAAAAACATTTAGTGACAATATACCATACTTTTGAACATTTTTGGAAGTGTGGGAAATATGATGCTGGCCAGTTGCTCTTAGCATCTCTGGATAAACTAGTGAAGGAAAATCCTAAACTCCAGACTTCCATGAATAATCTAACGTCCTCTAGGTATGAAGGCGAGTTAACAAAGGAAAATAAGGCACTCACAGGCTCAAATTCCAGGCTCCAGACACCCATATGGAATATAAAGGTTTCTAAGTTTGTTCTGAAAGCTAATTTCTCTCCTTTCACTGCAGGGCTGAGGTTGCAGAAGCCCAGAGACAGGCCTTCATAATTCAGGTGACTGAATCACAGCGTGAGTTTAAGGCTCAGCCCAGAAAGGAAAGGAAAGTGAAAGGGAATAAATCAGAAAAGATTGGGATTGCATAAATTGGGATAGAGACATTTGGGAGCATCCTGAAGGGGCTGGAGATGTTGAGGTCCTAAATCCTGATGAGATCATTTTGCCAAAAGAGATTTCTCCAACAGTGCTGGCGACGTCCTCACCCCCACCCCCGTGTGGTGTTGGCCTCTGTGTTTACTAAGCATGACCTCGTGACACAGCACACCTCAGGACCCACACTCGCCACCCACTTTTGCCTCTTGGCTACAACCAAGCACCAGTCTCAGAAGGCTCCTAAGGGTGAGGTACACAGTGTGACCCATGGAGAGGTGCACTATTCTCCTAAATAAACTCTTCAGTTGTCTAACTCATAACAGGGGCCTGATGAACAATTACAGGAACTGATTTTAAAGGTGTGGGACACTGGTGGTGAAAACAGACTCCTGGATCAGGCTGCCTGTTGATATGGAGCCCATAAACAGAAATCCTGAGTTTAGTGTTGAAACTCCTGGAGTTTAGAAAAAAAAGGTGTTGATAGTTTATCCAGCTCGTTGATGATTTATGGATGAAAAGACAGCCCACTGTGAATTAGCTAAGGATGCCGCTATCTCCGGGTTTACTGCTGAGGAAGAGATTCAAGGGATTGGGGACATGGGAATGGTGGAGTGGACTTTCCAGGTAGAACCTCCTCTTCCACACTGGGAAGATCTAGAAAATGTACCCTTTCCCAAAAGCTTGCAAGAGGAGCCCCAGCATCCCCGAAGAGCCTGCTGTTCTCTGTATATGGGACAGCGGTCACTCAATTGGGAAACTTAACAGCAATGGTTTAACTAGACCTACAGTAGCAGGGGTCAGGATGCAGCACTCGACCGGTGTGGCCAAGGTGAGTGGGCCTAACATAATGGGCAGCAGCAGCAGAACAGTGATCAGAGTGATCTGACACACGCAGGGCTATGGCAATGCCTAGTAGTTACGGTGTTCCCAAAAGGGAAACAGACCAACAGTTACTAAATTTTATTGCATTTATAGAATCAGAAAAACTTTAGAACAAATGAACAGAAATCTACCTCAAAGAGTTGCAACAGAAGATCACAGCCCCTCAGCCAGTTCCCAGATTTGAGCCAGTTTATAGACCCAAAACCCTTTGAATGAAGGGGAGGCCAGGTCCCCTTTAATAAAGGACCTTGTTGCACTACCAAAAATTTATACAATCTTTCTCCTAACCTTTCCCAAAGGGATCTAAGATCTTTCATCAGGGTAACTGCACACTGGGAAAAGTGAAATGATTAGATATTTCAGGGACTATATGACATTAGTTCTGAACTAATGCTGACACCAGGAGATCCAAAACATCACTGTGGCCCTCCAGTAAGAGTAGGGGCCAATGAAGTAAGGTGATTCATGGAGTTTTAGCAAAGGTCCTACTCATAGTGGGTCCAGTAGGTTTCTACATCTATCCTGTGTGTATTTCCACTGTTTGAGGTTGCATAATTGGGATAGATATACTCTGTACTTGGAAGAATTCTCACGTCTGTTCCCTGACCTGTAGTACAAGGGATATTATGGTTGGAAAGAACAAATGGAAGCCATCAGAGTTGCCTCTACTTGAGAAAATATAAATAAAAACAACACCGCATCCTTGGAGGAATTGTAGAGATTAGTGCCACCATCAAGGACTTGAAAGGCACATGGGTGGTATTTCCCACCACATCTCTATTTAATTCTACTGTTTAGCCTATATATAAGATGCATAGGTCTTAGAGAATTAGAATGAATTATTTTAAACATAATCACGTGGTGACTCCAGTTATAGCTGCTGTACCTGATGTGGTTTCCTTGCTTAAGCAGGTTAACACATCTTCCTAGTAGTTGGTATGCTGCTACTGATTTGGTGAATGCCTTCTTCTCCATACCTGTGCATAAGGCCCATCAGAAGCAATTTGCCTTCAACTGGCAAGGACAGCAATTCACCTTCACTGTCCTGCCTCAGAGTTATATTAACCCTTTATTACAACTTAGCTCCCAGGGATCTTGATCACTTTTCTCTCCGTCAAGGTGTCACACTGGTCCAATATATTGATGATACTATGCTGATCAGAGCAAGTGAGCAGGATGTAGCAACCACTGTGGACCTGGTAAAGCACATGCACCCCAGAGGATGGAGAATAAACCTAACTAAAATTACAGGTCCTTTTACCTTAGTAAAATTTCTAGGAGCCTTGTGGTGTGGGCCATGTAGAGCTAGCCCTTCTAAGGTGAAGTATAAGTCCATACATCTGCCTCCTCTGACAACCAAAAAGGTAGCAAATGTCTTGTGGGCCTATTTGGACTCCTCACGTAGGTGGCTTACTCTGGCCCATTTGATACCAAGTGATTCAGAAAGCTGCTGGCTTTGAGTGGGGCCCAGAACAAGAAAAGGCTCTGCAACAGGTCCAGGCTGCTGTGCAGGCTCCTCTCCCACTGGGGCCACCTGATCCAGCAGACCCAATTGTACTTCAGGTGTCAATAGCAGGAAGAGATGCTGCTTGGAGTTTCTGGCAGTCCCCATAGGTGAATTGCAGCAGAGGCCATTAGGATTTTGTAGTAAGGCTCTGCCAGCATCTGGATAACTACTCTCTTTTTGAAAATCAGCTCCTGCTGCTGGCCTGAGTGGAAATTGAATGCTTGACCATGGGATACCAGGTTACTGTGTGACCTGAGCTGCCCATTATGAGCTGGGAATTTCTGACCAACCAAGTCAAAAAGTTGAACATGAACAATAGTCCATCACTAAATGGAAATGGCATAAGAGATTGAGCCAGAGCGGGTCCAGAGGGCACAAGTAAATTACATGAAGAAATTATCCATGGCTCTTACCCCTACTGTACTGCCTTCTGTCTCCCTGCATGTATCTATAGTTTTATGGGGTGCACCACATGATCAGCTGCCAGAGGAAGAGAAGGCTAGGGCCTGGTTTACAGATGGTTCTATATAGTATGTAGGCACTACTCACAAGTGGAGAGCTACAGCATTATAATCCTTTTCCAGGACATTCCTGAATGACTCCAGTGAAAGAAAATCTTCACAGTGCACAGAATGTTGGGCAGCACACTGGTCATACGTTTCTCCTGGGAGAAAAATGTGACTATCTATTAAATAATTGGCTGTAGCCAATGGTCTGGCTGGATGGTCAGGAACTTGGAAGGAATATGACTGGAAAATTGGTGACAAAGATACTTTGGAAAGAAGTATGTGGATAGCCCTATTTGCATGGGTGAAAAATGTAAACATATTTGGGGCCCATGTAAACGCTCACCTAAATGACCTCAGCAGAAGAGGACTCTAACAATCAAATGGACAGAATGACTTGTTCTGTAGGTAGCGGTCACTCTCTTCAGCCACCCGCCATTGCCCAGTGAGCCCATAAACAGAGTGGCCATGGTGGCAGAAATGGAGGCTGTGTGTGGGCTCAGCAGCATGGACTTAGACTCTGCAGTCCTGACCTGGCTACAGTCACTGCTGAATGACCAACATACCATCAGCAGAGCCCAACACTGAGTCCCCACTATGGCACCAGGCCCCCGGCTGATTGCCTAATATCTTTCCCCTATTCTGTTAATGTGGTTGTACATATATTCACATGTATTAAGCAGTTATCTTTTTTCTTTGTAACATAATATTGACAGAATTAATGTCAGTTCTTAAGTATTGTTAAATCTACAATGTTTAAGTTATAAAGTATTAGGAGAATGCTAAGCACCACACAAAGAAAAATTTTGCTTTCTATTCTAGGGAAGAAACTTGTGCATTCCCATTTGTATGCAGGATAGTTTCTTGAAGGTTGAAAAGATGTTTTCTGATAAACAAGATGCCTGACCCATAAGAAACCTTGACTTTTCTTCAACATGATGAGATCAGAGATGCCTTGCAAGAAACCAAAGCAGACGAGAAACTGAACATTGAGGATTGTTCTGATTATCTATCTTCTGATTATCTATCACCGCACAACATATTTTCCTAAAATCATTTATTTTGTCAACTGACTTTTATGTCTCAGGACACAAAAGCTAAGAGGACATTTTTATTTTTACTTTTTTTCCCTGATCCACAAAGTCTAAGGCTTAAGTTGGGAGACTGGCAGCCTGAGGTGAAGCCCTGAGGGCTGGTCATTATAGGAGACCCATTCTCTTCGAAGGTTGCCTTGTGGATCTTGGCAGAAAGTGTGGCCCCATGCTTGTGGTGGCCTCTGCAGTGCACCCAAGGATAACAAGGCAGTGGACTCTGAAGGATGAATAGCCCAGCAGAGCCAGAGGAGGTGGGCACTTTTGTGGGACTGGGAAGTCCTCAGCATCGTTCTCCTCTTCTCCAAGCCGTCACAGGAGACGTGGAGTTTCTGTGAGGGGAGGAGGATGCAGGCAGTGACAGGGAACTGACACAGGTCTAGAAGAACATGTAAGAGCTTAACTTTTGTTTTATTGACCTGCAAAAGAACTTTGGACTATCCTCTAGATAATGTATATTGTGGGAGGATTTTAGTATCACAGACCCGTGGTCAGATTTTTGTTTGAGCTAAAAAAAAATTCTGAGATCCTTCCTGTTTGCTCAGACTGGAGAAAGATCAACCTCCGAGGCATCTACAGCAATAACCATGTGACAGGTGAGAGACAAGTCACCTGCTTTTAGGGCTCACCAGGAGATAGAATTACAAGATATCGAAAACACAGAGCCACTAGAGTTCCAGCCTCCAATTCTGTGAAGATTCACGTTAGTATGAAAAGAGTTTCCAGGTTTCTGACATGATTGAGCGAACAGATGGTAGTAGCATGTGCTCAGATATAGGCGAAAGAAAGATATTTCCGTGCATATTGAATTTGAGTATTTCCGTGGAAAGCCCAGAGAGATGTCCGTGGTGAGATAAGAAAAACCAAAGCTTCAAAGCTTTCAGAATAACCCATCGTAATGTATGGGAATGTACACAGGTTATTTAATTTGTTCTGTTTTGTCTAGGAACATCTGTCATAATCAGGAGAGTACACAAAGTATTTGGCCACAGACAAGCATTTGGTGTCCACTCTGGGTGAATGGACAAGCTGGTCACTAACACTGACCAGAACTTCAGGAGTGCAATACGTCCTGACCCAGAGGCAGAGGACCCCTTTTTCAGGGTAGGAGGAGCAGAGCTGGCGGGTATTCTGCATGTTTTCAGGCAGTGGTCGGAAGGAGAGGAGTGAAGCTACCCAGCTGCACAGGGTGGGGCACACCGGCCGAAGGGCGGGAAGCTCATCACAGGGAGCGCGCCCAGGTTTTAGGACGCGTGGGAAGGGAAAGGAGACAAACCTCAGCCAAGTCGGGGGAGGAGAGCACTGCAGAGGCAAGGGCCTGTGTCTCTAGCCAGAGAGGAGCGCCCTGCGCAGTCCTGCCCAGACCCCTACCCGAGGGGTCTGGGCTCAGCGGCCGAGCACAGGGCAGGCGGCAGACGCTGTCCTCACACCCTGTGAGGCTGGCCCTGCTCTCCCGATCTCTCTCTAATCAGGGGAGCTCGGTGCTCCGGTGCTGAAAATGTCTCTTCCTACGGAGCTTTGGATGCACAGGTGAGCGCTCCTGCGGAGCACACTCCCTGCTTCTCTACTGCACCTGTTCCTCCCTGGGAGGTGGTGATGAGAGACTGAGAATGGTGCAGAACTTCGAGCTGCATTTTGGGAAACAGGAAACTGCACGTTCACTTTCGTTCATCTTCAGTCCCGTGACCCCCTTCTTCCCCTCCCCAGCCCTTTCTTCCTCTCTCTCTCTCTCTCTCTCTCTCTCTCTCTCTCTCTCTGTGAATTGTGAAAATGAAAAACTATACATCTACTAAGATAAAAAATAAGTCCTTGCATTTAGCTTTGAGAAGCACTCATGTAGTATTTGCATGATTAAGACTTAAACTAGTGTGATTCTTCTTTAACTTATGGAACTTCCATGAACTTTTAATGTGTGGCACTTGATTCAACCCTAAATGCTAGCACACACTGTCTTTCATTTTAAATGTTTAAATTTTGAACGTACGACAGCCAGTTTGCTTCAGTTATTGAAACCCTCTGGTTTTAAAGGTTAAGCTATTGGTGAAAACCCACTCCATAAGAAGTATATGGACCATGGTAGCTCTCACATAGATGTTCCAGCTTGGACTTTCACTAGAGCATCTCCTTGAAGTGGTGAAGCCAAGGTAATGCTGAGGGTGGGAAGAGTCAAGTGCTGACAGCTAGGAGCCTCAGGGAGAGAGGGGATTGCCCATGTAGACGCTGACAGTGGGGTGCTGTCCTAATGAAGATGAAAGCACTTTGAAATGCTCTTACAGAAGAGACTTCGTTAGATCATCGTTCACCAGTAAACAGGCTCTTGATTGAAAGATCAGTAAAAGAGAAGGATTGTTATTTATTTTTAGAGATGTGTGGTCCTTCCTGAGGTTACCAGGGCCACAAAATTGTGGCCATGGCTTTGCCTCCTGGCGTGAGTGTGGGAGTGGTAGTTTGGGAGGTTCCAAAGAAGCTCCTCCTACAGTGTAAAGGCAATGAACTGAAAACTTGGGATTGATTTTTCTAGCATGCAAAGTGCTCTGGACAGAGCTGGGTGGGTTTGAGCTTTGACCCCAACCAGACCTTTCAGAGACTCAAACATGATGGAAATAAGAGTAAGAAGGGGAAACTGGAAGAGGAGACATGTTCCCGGAGTAGAGATGAAGGATGCCGTCTTCCGGGTGTTCTGCGAGGCAGCACACCGTTTATGAGGCACGGCTGCTCTCTGCGCTCCCCGAGTTGTTTAGTTTGACATTCTGAGCACTTTAAGATCTGGAATAATGTACTTTTAATAATCTGTTCAAAAATAAGTTGACAGTAATAGTTCATTAGGTGCTCACCAAGAGTCTCACTAATGAAAGGAAGGAAGATGAAGCATTCAAATTAGTGTGTTAGGTTTTAAAAATGCTTGACACCACCTGTCAGAGACATTAAAGACTGTGATCCATTAAATAATGTAAATTAAGCTAAAAGACACTGAGCAGCAGTTATACATTGGTCACAGAATTTAAATATAATAAAATACAGAAGTGTTGAATGATTCATGTAAATGGAATTTGGGATTAAATAAGTTTTAAAAAAGAATTCTTTAGGAGTCATGACACTGATCAAGTGTATAGGTTGTGACAAATACCTTGAAGGACATGGAGATACGTACTGCGTTCTGTCTTACACAAAAAGTCTCTCCAAATGACAGTTTTAAACCCCAGATAGCCGCAAGGCTTTCCTCTTGTCTCTGTGAAATCTAACTTATAACTGGAGACTTCTAAAGATGCATTTAATGGCCTCGAAGGACTCAAACTGCGGAACTCTCCACACCACTTGGGAGTGTCTGCTCGTGGTGGTGGAGCTCAGCGTCCGCCCAGGCTCTGTGCAGCAACTCTCCAACCCTCCTGGCCAGGCATTGGGGCCCGATTCTTTGGGAGCCCAGCCCAGCCTCACGCCTTTTCTCAGGCCGGTGCTCTTGGGGGCAGGAGCAGTCTCATACCTGTCTTATTCTGATTGTCACATGCCGATGCTTTTAGTGGGTGTAAGTCTCTCACTAACCTGCTGTTTCATTCATCGCATCATTTATTTGAGAAGCATAGTGAGTACCTGACTGTCTACTTCAGAGATGGCAATTTGACACTGGGTTACAGAAGCAGAACATGAGCAGAAGGAATTTAGGTGCTAAGAATAGAAATGTATTTAGGATGAAACTGAGGAGTGAAACAAAGAATGGTCAACTTACTCACGCAGGGGGACAGACCAAGGAGCCTGGAGCTCCCCACCTTCTGCTATCTGTGCTGACGGACAGTCTCCTCCACTGAATGTGGCCCGAGCTGTGACTCCTCTTGTTCCTGCAGCATGTGACAGAGGTGGCACGAGGTCACTCCTGTGACTACTTACAGGCACACGCTGGGCACACCTTGCCCATGGAGAAGGCTGACTGGCATGGAGCGACAGGCAGAAATAGGGCTGGGGTGATGACCCTGGGGGATGACCTCTGCCCACAGCACCGTGTCTCAGATGAGGATCTGAGCCTCAGGTGCTCTCACAGCCTCACGGATGTGCCTGGATTCCTGGTCTTTGGACTCTGGAGGGTAAATGTGTGCTCTTTGCAGCCACCAAGTCTGCCGTAATTTATTACACAGCGAAAGAAAACAAACACCCAGAGGGAGCCAGAAAAGTGTTGTCCTTAGTCAAGTGCTTCCTGAGAAAAGTGCCTGCTGATCTGGTTCTAGAGGATGTTTACTGCCTAGGCAGGAGGCTGCGGGTTCTCCAGCCCTGTGTCTCTCTCGACCATCCTGAGTGCCTGGACGGTGCTGCTGTTCCTGCTCCGGCAGTGAGAGGGACGTGGGGTATGGAGCTGGCCCTGGCTCCGGGTCAGAGGAAAGTGTTCGTGCATGACAAGAAAGACACACCGGAGACATCGTTCTCCTATCTGTGAATTCATTGATCATTTTAAATCATTCTTTCCTGCTTTTTCACCAGAGACAACTTCCATTTGCTGACTTCCAGGTCTGCGGTGCTTTTCTATGGACTTGCGGAGTGGTTAAGGAAATTTCAGCTGTGTGACCCAAAAGACAGTGTGAGATCTTCCAGGGGCGTATTCCCTCAGATTCAGTGTTAGGGGAATGGTAACGTCATGTAAGAATCTAGCATGGTAGATCCGGTTTTCAAACATATTAGGTTCACAATCAAAGTGCACATTTTTTTCTTTTTGATACTGGGAATCGAACTCAAGACATTGTACTTGCCAGGTAGGCACTGTGCCGCTGAGCTATATCCCCAGCCACATCTCTTCAGTACAGCTGTCTGATTCGGAAATTAAGAAATAATTGCGTGTCAGCATTACTACAACCACTGTTTTACTCCTATGTTTTAAACCTCTTTTTAGTAAATTCTCCCTTTGAGGAAAAGTACCTTTATCCACAGAAGCATGTATTTGGTAGACTGTAAAGATTTCTAAGTGGTGGAATGCTGCATTTGTGGTAGTTTTGTGTGTTTAGCAGGCATCTATCAAGTCCCCCCAGGCATGCATCTTCTCTCCCTACCCTCATGGACATTTTCTGCCCCATTCAGCAGAATCAACAGAAGCAACACTCTCCAAATTATAAGCTCAGATTCGACACATTGCCAACTCTTCCATACATACACTGTAGGGATAGCCGGCTTTTTGCTCCTTGTTTTTGCTGTGTTTTTTTCCATGTTTAGCTAATGCACAGCAGTAGACATTCTTCTGCTCCTTTTGAAGCCCTGAAAGGAGCGGCTCCTTCTGCCAAAGCAGTCCTGGCTCCTGCATGACATTCCTCCCAGAAATGTTTTCACTTCGCCAACAGCTGCACATTACAAGTCAGGACCCATTCCAGCCATCACTTTCGCTCTTCCTTCAAGGACAGCACAGTAGAAAACAGAGGCTCTCGCTCCTAAGACAGCGGAATTTTCAGTTTTTCATTTGCACCCTCCAGCCTGAGGCGTCAAGCCTCGAGGGCACAGACCCAAGGTCTAGGGAAGGGCTCACAGAATGATTTTTACAGTTGCATGCGTGAGTTACGCATTCTGAATTCCCTCACTGGTGTCTTCCCATTTTTCTCCAGCTCAGCGTGGTGTGCTGTCTCCCCCTCTCGTGGTCAGAAGCCTGGAGAAGTCG